ATGCATTATGCATGCCACGACAGCCGGTCTGTCGTGGTTATGCGGGACTCACTGCCTACCGGGGACCTAAGTGGTACCCGCCAAAAACCGCCTTTTGGGGACTGGCAACCAGCTGTTTAAGCTTCTTATGCCGTATCGGAAGCGACCCTCTTTTGGGTAAAGAGGGCGCAGGCGGCTACGAGCCGCTGAGGGAGTGCCTACTAAGGCAAATTAATTATGAAATTTATTATGAGTTTGACTGAGCCGCCAGGAGGCAGTTCAAGTCGTTTGAAAGTTTATTAGGCGGGTCTGAGAGGGAGTTCCTCGGCCTGCGGACGCGATAGCGGGAGGGGCTGCATAATTAGCTGCCTCACGAATAAGTTTGTTGGAATGCGACTCTGAGGCTTTGAAGAGTTTTTTAATGAATTTTTGTATTGTTAGGATTTCTAAGTCCCGATGGAGGTCGGCACTACGGACTTACCACGGTGCGTTCGTAGCTCGACGACAGAAGTGGTTTTGAACTATTTGAAGTTCATTACTAATTTTGGGATTAGCATATGCAAATATAGGGGCCGCGTAAGACATTACCGGTCGTATACAGACCTTATAAAGGGTTTGCTTATTTCTTAGGGACATTTTACTATGTCGGCCTAACATACTGTTAAGCCTACCTAAATAAAAACGTGCTAGACGGGTTACTCTTTTGACATGAGGTTCGAAAGTGAGCCTTGTGTCAAGGGTGATACCTAAATATTTAGCAGACGAACGCCAGGGGACAGGGGTCCCTAACATACGTATTGGTGGAGTATTTTTGATGATGCGGCGTCGTTTATAATCGAATTGAACTGCGGAGCTCTTCTCCGGGTTCACATCGATGTGCCTTTTTTGGAACCAAGCTCCTAGGTCATCGACTGACTTTTGAATCTTGTTCCTTGTGAAAGGTAGTGTTTTACCTTTACAGTATAGAGCAGTGTCGTCTGCGAAGAGGGAGAGCTGTACACCATTCGACGGGATTGGAATGTCGTTGGTGTACAAGATGTAGAGGAGGGGAGCAAGTACTGATCCCTGAGGAACACCAGCTTTGATGGGGCGCTGGGAGGAGAGCGTGCCTTCGTGTCTAAAACGAAAGGTACGATGTTGTAAGTAAGAGGCCACGAGACGTACTAGACGATCGGAGAGACCTACTCTATATAGTTTAAATATAAGGCCTTCATGCCAGACTCGGTCGAAGGCTTTGGCAATGTCGAAAAAGACCGCGATTGTCTTTTGACGACGTGGATAAAAACCGCCGAGGATATATTCCACAATGCGGTGAACTTGTTGGGGGCAGGAGTGTTTCGCTCGGAAACCAAATTGGTGGGGGATGACAAGAGGGTCACCGTCTGTGGGAAACAGATGGTGCCTCATTCGAGTGAGGATGACTCTTTCGAGGAGTTTGCCCATGGCCTTGAGGAGGCTAATGGGACGATGACTTGAGGGGAGGTTAAGAGGCTTGCCTGGCTTGGGAATACCAATGAGAGTTGCCTCTTTCCACGTAGTTGGAAAGTAACTAAGATTGAAACAGGCGTTGAAAATAATAGATAAAAGGGTTAACACCTGCTCTGGAAAGTGTTTAAGGGCTTGGTTGGAGATGCCATCCGCGCCCGGAGCCTTTTTGGGCTTAAGTCCCTTGATGAGGGACAAGATCTCATCATTGGACACAGTAATAGGGTCAGAGGCTGTAGGGGGTGAGTTCCGGCGGCGGACATCATCCTCCACTTCCTGAATATGTGAGGGGTCGACAGGTTGAGAGCTAGGAGAGCATTGTGCGGCAATGCTGTCTGCAAAGCACTCAGCCTTTTCGTCGTCCTCGAAGGCAACCGTACCGTCGTGGCGGGAGAGAAGGGGAGTGTGAGTTGTAGCGTCTATACGGAGGGCTCTAGCCATCTGATAGTACGCTGTATGTGAGGGAGATATATTCTCCATGAGTTCACTCCTTTGGAGGCATAGAGGAATATAACCACTAGAGAGCGTATAGGCCGATTTCTTCTAAGCACAAGACTCACTACTGCGGGCCGGGGGACGATGAAGAATGCGCGGCCGCAATTGGTCAATTCAAGGTATGGCTATCGTTAGGGTTGCTCTACTTCATTAAGGGAAAATAGTGGATATCGATAAAATGGATTTTAACATTATGAAAAATACTAAATATAATTGTAATTGTGTAAATGAATGTATTTGTTAATTAAAATCATAGAAATAATATTTAATCAAAATCAATCAATTATAAGAAAAACATGTATCCCGTTATTATTGATTTTTAAAATGTTTTAATTTGGAATATGTTTTTCGAATTAAAGTTTTAGGGTCCTGATTGTTCTTCGTAAAAAATGATAAGCGCGTGTCTACATATTTCTGAATTATGCATCTTGCTAATTCAATTAAATGATTTGTGGATTCAATTTCAAATTGATGAAAATTAATATCCGGGAATAAATTATACCCAATCAGAGATTTTAAAACCGATCTTATAAAATAATCGGTATTATATTTCGAAGACAGCACTTTGGATTGGATTTGCACTCTTAATATAAATTTCACAACGACGACAAATTTCTATTACTGTGGTGGATCCGTACAATAACTTGTCTTTAGTGTCCTTTTGAAATTGTAAGGCGTTTTGATTTGGTACACCAATCAGCGCCCCAATGCAAGTTTGGCATTTTATCTGCTTTATCAAAGCATGTACAATGTAGCCGGCCATATATTCTACTACTTTTTCACCGAATTCAGAATTAGGTAACAGGCTTTCAAGGCCTGAAAAATTCAAGCTCTCAGTCTCAAGATCTATGTTTTGGTCTTTGTATCTTGTTGTAATATTGATGCGGTTAACTGCAGAAGTGCATTGCAAAATTGAAATTTGACCAAGAGCGCTGCAATTGCCACTACCACTATTTTTTATTTGCGCATAGGTCAGGAGCTTCTTGTATATGCTTTCAAATACCCTAGCACTAGGATTGTTGTTTGATCCACCGTGGCATCTTATACTTCCAAACAGGTGTTCCAAGTGGTCCTGGCTTATTTTATGTAGAGGAAGATATTTTAAGGCGCACTCTGAGTTCAGGACCAAGTCTTGAATGAGAGCAATGGCACTTTCTATACACACACAAAACCCTATGAATCCGGTATATCGAGGTGACTTAACGAGTCGAACTTCTTGTTTTACAGTTCTTACAATTATGTCTGCGGACATATTTAGTATAGCATCTCTAGCTGTCTTTAATTTAAATATAACATTCGCAGCATTTTCTACATTGACTGCTCGTTTTAAATCATATCCATGGATGTGCGAGTCCAGAATATCAAAAAGGTCATTCATCATATCCAGAAACTGTGTTGTGGGTGTAACTTCTTGAAACTCACGTAAATTAAGCTTTTCTTTGCAAAATGTGAGTGCATCTGATACACTCTTACTAAAAATTTGGGTTGCTAAGCTTACTTTCATAATTTTCGTTTTAAAAAATATATGAGCAGCCCTTAGTCGATTACCTAGATGAAAATTTTCCGCTGTTTGTAGATTATGTAAGTTAACGAGATATTCCCACGATATAATATTGCCCCGTTCGTCCTTCAAATTCCTATAAAACTCAAATGCATTTCGCACTAACTTGATCATGTGTGCCGGATCTAGAAAGACCGCTATTTTTGAAGTATTGCAGGGATTTTTAAAGGTGGTGTTTATTTGATCAACTTCAAACGAACAGCCTAACTTTTTAGCCATAGTAATATTAGCAGGGCAGCCGTCAAACGTAATGGCTTTGACATTTACACCAGCCTCTTCTACCAAATGGATCGCCTCTGTTAGAAGAGCGGCTTTTTGTTCTGCATTAATGCCATTTATTAAAAAATATCCTATTGGAATTTTCCAGGATGCATTTATTGGCACTAGCAAGAAAACAAGGGCTTCTTTAGCTTCATCTTGACAGTCCGTTTGTAAACTGGCGCCAAAACTCACGTGGCCATAGTACCTTCTGGCTTGGGGATGATATTCGACACCGCTTTTGATCGCCATTTCGTCGAATATGATAGTGGCGTAAATTTTGTTCTTAGATTCTCTGGCTTTCATTTTGATAGTATCTATTGCCTCCTTTGTAAATCCTGGTTTACCATCAATGGATTGATACCAACTTCTCAGAGTACTTGTAGCAGGTAAACATGTGCTGAAAGTTTGTCTAACGAAATTATACGCTTTTGGGGAATAAAAATGCAATGTTAAAGAGAATGCTCGTAACTCCGGTGAGTATTTGATTTTGGGTATATGTCCTTTTTTGATTTCAATATTTGACGTTTGACAATTTCTTGGTTTTGTACACCTATGCGACTTAAAATGTCTTGATTTTCTTGAGTGATATAAGATTTTTTTGTCAAAGTATTCAAAATTTCTTTTAGATTTGCATTTTTTTTAACCAATAATCTATTTTTATCTTGAAGCCTCTTAACCTCTTTCTTTTTTTTACTAAGGGAATATATAAGATGGTCTATGTGTCGTTTCATTTTACGTTTACGTGGAGTCAGGTCTTCAATTACTGGGTGTACTATTTCTTTGTTACTTATTGTTGAACTCTGAAAAATAATAATATATAAATATAATAAATAAGAAAAGAAGAGGTAATAAGAAATATTAATATTGAATTTTGTAGAAATATTATTTGAGAAGAATATAAAAATGAAGCTTACGGGAATTTCATAATCATAGGAAGGCCTGAAAATGTTACTATCATCAAATGGAAAACAATGCAAAGGAGTCTGGGCTTCAGTTGATGTATGAGCTTCAGAATGCACTTGTTTATTTGATAATGAACTCTGTAATTAAACATGTCGGATATCTATAAACGCAGTCACATAAAATTTATCTCATGGACTTATCATCGAAACTAATTAACTTACGAGGGCGATATTGTGACGCGAAGGCCCGGGTACATTAGTATAAGAGTCAATCATACTATTTGGTGAATCCTGTAAAGAATGAATATTTCTTATATTCACAATTTCACTTTTCCTAACATTATATCAATAAAAACAAAACTTACCAAAATAGGCAAAAACAACGTTGGTATCGCTGAACTAAATAGACGGCGGCGTTCTTTTAAATATTCAAAACAATCGGGGGTGAAGTGCCTTGAACAAACAGCGCTGTATTTTGTTGGAAACCAATTTTCCCTATTAACCTTATCTATCCACTTTTCTTTTAGTTCTGGAATCTTAGGAAATCTAAAATAAAAACATGTATGTCAAACACACAGACGAAAAAAACCTGTTTACATCACCGTCCTCAAAAATTACATAAAAAATAATTATTGTGCAAAACAACAAATAGAACATTATCAAATTCATAGTGCGTTATCAAATTCACTATCATTTTATGACAGTCTTCCCCGAAATTGTAGCGAATACAAGTGAAATTTGTATTAATTTATTGTTATCTGTGGATTCGTAATAATTGGGTGTGAAATCACCCGACCGCACTGGGACCTATCGGACCCAGCGGTGTATGAAGCCATAATTATCTTGGACCGATCGGTCCCGGTCGGGGACAAAGAAATACAAAAAAATCTCGGAGCATACATAAAAAAAATAATGACAAACTGAGAACCTCCTCCTTTTTTGAAGTCGGTTAAAAGTAAATAGGTATTTTATTACACGTGAATTGAATAAAAATTTTATTAATTTTAATTTTCATATTTTCGATATCGACTTTCAGCTATTAAAGATAACAGCACTAATTTTTACAATAAACATACAAAGGGAAAGAAAGGGATAGAAGCATAATAATTGTCTAATGAAAGAACGAGACTTTTCCAAAAGACATCAACGCGCGTCTCAACTATGTGCTCGTTTAAATAACCACCATTTTAAATAGACCCCTGCAGTCGCTCATAATCTGATTAAATCAAAAATAATTTTCATACTGTTTACTTACCGATGAAAAGTTATGCCATCTTTTTTGTAACTAGATGTCTTGGAATGTTTCCCACACCACTTCACCGCGCATGAAGGCATTTTGATGCGTTATAATTGCATAAAAAGTTATAAAATTTTATTTTAATTTAGCGTGCACACAGGTCTAACACTTGGACACAACTAAAATGGTTACTCGTACCGTAGCCTATACATAGGCGACAAAATACTAATAGTTTTCGAGCGTCGGAGCACTGTATGCGCAGTCAAGTGGTTATATTGTCATTGTTTGGAGGTCTCGAAGTTCGGAGAGGCGGAAACGGAGTTCTCGTTGAAGACGATTGGCCGTGCGCCTATATTCGGGGGTGGGATATTTTGCTGCTCTCCGGAAAGCAGCTTTTTTAGCTTTTAATAGGTTGCTAATATGTAGGGGAAGCCCACTATTATTAGCAACCGAGACGACCCTTTCATTCTCCTTAAGGAAGGATTTAATAAGGGTTGAGATTGAATCGACCGCGGTGTCGATTTTTTCGGGACTGTCTAAGTCCGACGATAGGTAGATGGGGGAGTCCTGTGAGTCCATAGCTTTAGCTAGGGACTCCTTGAAACCCTTCCAATTAGTGAAGGTTTTCGTGGGTGTTGGGGGGGGGGGGGGTGGCTGATGGCCAATAATAAGGGAGACCGGTCTGTGATCGGATCCTATATCGTCTAGTGTCTCAATTGACCTGAGGTTAAGAGAAACTCCTTTGAGTAACGCAAAATCTAGTACATCTGGGGTGTGATCGGTGTTATCGGGATAGTGCGTAACACCGAGTGGACTGTGGACAGTAATGTCAAGAGACTGCGTTATATCTGTTGGGTATGTTTATTGTTACTTATGCAAATACCGTCATGTAGGTTAATAAATCAGTTGTTGAAACTACCGCTCGTGTTTCACTACCTAATATATAACTGGCGACGAGGTTCATAACATTATTAGTAAAAAGTGTGATATTAGTATTAAATCGCGGTAGTTACCGTCATGCCTTTTGGAAAAATAGAAAGTTTCGATTTATCGTCTCGGAAATTGTCAGTTTACGTAAATCGTGTCAAGCAGTTTATCGCCTTGAATGAAATTAAAGAATCATTGCACGTGGCCACATTAATTACCGTCGTGGGCAAAGCCACATATGATTTGATGTGCGACTTATGTGCTCCGAACAAGCCAGAAGAAAAATGTTTCGATGAATTAATCGACATCGTTCAACAACATCTAGAACCCAGGCGTTCTGATATTGCGGAAAGACACATTTTTAGGCAGAGGCGGCAGTAAATTGGCGAAGATCTCGGTTCATATCTACAACATTTAAAACACCTCGCAAGTACGTGTAACTTCGCTGACAAATTAGAGGAGAATCTAAGAGATCAATTCGTCTCCGGCCTTGCGAGTGACGAAATGAGAAGTCGTCTCTTTGCGGAAAAGGAACTAGACTATAAGGAGCGGTGGAGCTGGCGCTAGCGTTGGAGGCTGCGGAGCGGCACGCTGAGACGAGCGGTGTAGCGGTGGCGGGCGGTGCCGGCACGGGGCCGCTCGGCGCAGGCAGCGTGCACAGGATCGGTGCGCAGGCGGCTGCTGGCGCTGCCCGCGTGCGGGATTCGCGACAACAAGTCTGCTGGCGGTGTGGACGGCCGCATTCGGCGGATAGGTGTCGTTTTAAGCAGTTTAGTTGTGATGAGTGCGATATTAAAGGCCATTTGCGGGCCATATGTAAAAGTTCGCGTAGTGATCGCTCGTCAGGCAAAGTGCAGAAACGTAACCAGTTTTTCTTGGAAACTGATTCCGAATCTGGAGACAGTGATTTCTTTAACATGTGTGTCGACGGAGCTAAAGATAAACCGTATGTAATTCAACTCTATGTACAAAATGTGCCACTGGTATTTGAAATCGATACGGGTAGTAAAATATCAGCAATAAATGAACATTTTTTAAAAAAATATTTTCGTGACTTTGAAATTTCAAGTTGCAATCTAAAGTTGAGGTCTTATACCGGTGACTCGATCAAACCGTTAGGTTTTATCACTGTGTCCGCGCATTATTATAACTCTGATAACGAGCTACGGGAGGCGGATGCACTCCCATTATACATAATACCGGGTGGTGGTCCTCCGCTACTCGGCCGAGGTTGGCTACGCCGCTTACAACTTAAGAGCATAAACATAACACTAAACCACTTAAAAGATGAATTCACAGGTGATAAAACCAAACGCATAATTCATAATTTAAAAAATGAATTTGTTGACGTTTTTGCTTCGGGATTAGGTACGTGTACAAAGCGATTTACGTTAAAGTTAAAAGATAACGAACCCATTTTTTATAAGGCACGTAACTTACCATTGTCCTAAAAGAAGCCAGTCGAACAGGAATTGGAGCGACTCGTTAATGAGGGCACAATAGCTAGAGTAGAAAATTCAGAATACGGGACACCTATTGTACCGGTCATAAAAAAGTGCGGAAGTATTCGAATTTGCGGCGATTACAAAATAACAATTAATCCCAAATTAAAACGTGACCCCTACCGCGTATTGAGGAACTTTACGCAGTTTTAAGTGGTGGCACTATATTTTCAAAAATTGACTTGTCACACGCGTACGAACAGGTAACCTTAACGGAAGAATCACGGGTATGTACAACTATAAGCACGCACGTAGGCACGTTCGAATATATCTGCACCCTGTATGGTTTAAGCTGTATACCGGAAAAATTCCAAAAATTGATGGAGGAGGTCGTTAGGGGCGTACCTAACACTGTTGTATTCCTGGACGATATTTGTTGTTCGGGGACGGAGGAAACCCATTTGAATATTTTGCAGGAAGTTTTTCGTCGGTTACAGACCGTAGGTTTAAGAATTAAATTAGAGAAATGTGAGTTTTTTAAAAGTAGTGTCTGTTATTTGGGACACATAATTGATAAAAGTGGCTTACACCCAGATGATAAAAAAATTAAAGCTATTACTAACGCACCTCGCCCACAAGATATTCACCAGTTGAAAGCCTTTTTAGGGCTTGTTAACTACTACGGTAAATTTATACCAAATCTAAGTAAAATATTACATCCTTTGTATAGTCTATTACAAAAAAACAGGAAATGGTACTGGAGTCATGAATGCGAGCAGGCGTACGCCAATATCAAGAGAGCGTTAAGTAGCGATACATTTTTAGCGCATTATGACCCATCATTGCCACTGATTTTAAGTGTGGATAGTATTGCTTATGGGGTAGGAGGAGTTTTGGCACATAGGTATCCAGATGGGTCTGAAAAACCAATTTGCTACGTTTCACGCACGCTTAGCGAAGCCGAAAAGTCATACAGCCAATTAGATAAAGAGGTGTTAGCGATTTTCTTTGGCGTTACAAAAAACCATCAGTATTTATTTGGTAGAAGTTTTATAATTCGAACTGACCACAAACCACTTTCGTATATCTTTGGAGATAAAATCGGTATTTCGCAAACAGCAGCTAGCCGATTACAGAGATACGCGGCGCGATTGGCGGCTTATGATTTTACTGTTGAATGGTTGAACTCGGCTCAGAACGCCGCACCGGCTGACTGCTTGTCACGCCTACCACTGCCGCATGCTCGTACACGCGATTCCAGTACCCACTACGATACCACAATATCATATTTGTTTTTTCTGGAAAAAGATTTTCCTGTCAATTACAAGGATATCGCAGAGGCGACTAAAATTGATCCCATCTTACGAAATATTTGTAAATATATAATGTTTGGTTGGCCACATCATACAGATATGGAGCAAGAAAAGGCATATTTTAATCTTAGAAATAATTTGTTTATAGAAAACGGATGTATCGTTTATAACTATCGTATAGTCATTCCGCCCAAGTTTCGCCAATACATCTTACGCGAATTACATGACGGTCACCTAGGAGTTGTAAAAATTAAAAACATTGCACGTAGTTACGTGTATTGGCCAGGGCTGGACGCAGATATAGAGGATATGTGTAAGCGTTGTGATGCGTGCCGTCAGCAGCGCGACGCCCCGCCACATGTCTTGCTCACTCCTTGGGAATTTCCGGGTCGCCCCTGGCAGCGTTTACCTTCCGATTTCGGGGAGTATAAGAGTAAACATTATTTGATTATAATCGACGCGCACAGCAAATGGATAAAAGTTTTTCATATGTACAGTACTTCTGCCAAAGTTGTTATCTCTAAATTAAGGGAGCTATTTGCACGATTTGGTAGAATATTTGTTAGAATTAAACTTATTTTATAACCTGTAACTATTTATAAGCATTATTATTTGACGGCTTCGTGGCGCAGTGGCTTAGCAATCAGTTGTTGCGCTGGGGGCCGCGGGTTCGAATCCCGCACGGAACAAGTATTTGTATGGCCTACAAATAATTGTTCCGGGTCTGGATGTTTGTCCTTGTGCAATTTATGTTTGTAAACTGCCTCCACGACACAGGAGAAAATCCTAGTGTGGGGGTAACGTTTTTAAAAAAAAAATATTAGGTACAGAGGTGTTGGGTATGTTTATATTGTTACTTATGCAAATACCGTCATGTAGGTTAATAAATCAGTTGTTGAAACCACCGCTCGTGTTTCATTACCTAATATATAACTATATCAAGCAGTTTCTTGCCACTACGGATGGTTGAACGGCATGTCCATTCAGTATGCTTAGAGTTAAAATCTCCAAACATGATGACTGAATTGCTTAGAGATAAGATGTCCTCAAAATCTTTTTTGAGGAGGAGGTTTCCAGGTGTGATGTAACAGGAGGCTATGACTAAAGACTGATGTCCCGTCATAACTAACCTGCATATCGTAGCTTCCATATTGGTAAGCTACGTAGTATTAATGCTTGCCGGGTGGCCTGTTTGCTGGCACAGGAAGCACGCGGGTGGGGATACGGCATCTTTGGGCCGGGGACACTCTTTAGTGTTGTGTGGGTCGAGGTACTTAACGCACCTGGGTGGGGCGGAGCAATTGGCCGCCGCATGCCCATAAAGCTGGCAGCGGTGGCACTGCGCCGGGAAACCGCGCCTATGCGGTGGCTCAACTTTGACTCCCGACAAGCCACACACAGTGCGTACTTGCCGGA